TATGTATGAATTAACATTTGAATTAAATTATACCTAAGTCGCTTTCGGGACTTGGAAACGGACAGCAAGAGACATTAGATACAAGGTAGGCTAAGCAACTAAAAAAGAACGATTTTGAAATGTAGTTTATTAATCTAAAACGTACACAAGCGCAGACAATGTGATTTGTCAACTTGGAGGCGAAAAGTTTAAGCGGGAAATCCCACAGATTACGAGTACGCCCGAAGCAATTCCTAAATCTTAATACGAATAACTACATAGTGACTCCATTTCTAGACAAATACATGCCTTCGAAGTTAAGATAAAATATAAAACTTTGAAAACATCAGAGACTCAAGTTAGAAGATCGAGTGACAACAGTAAAACAGAGCCACCCCCTGTGAAGAAAGCCGGAAAAAGATATGGCAGTACAAGACAAAGAAGCAGAATATATGATGTTAAACTACAATGTCAGAAACATGCGCAAATAAAAAAAAGATGAATAGATCAATAAGAAATGGTAAGAGATCGGATAGTCGCAGAACAGAGACAGAGCACTTATGTCAAAATATACGGATTTATAGTTAGGTCAGGACTGACCAAGACGAAGAAGAAAGCAGAAGGAAAAGTGAGAATTTACATGAGATATTGATAATCGAAGAACATTTGGAAATTGATAACTTTAACGAATTAACAGGCATATATGACAAAGGTGAAATACCGGAAGATCTGCCCGGCGAATTAAGTAACAATGGGCGAATTATCGCGAAGACCATCGCACGATCATCTTCATGACTTGTGTAACGGAAATACTGATTAGTATGCTAAATAATTAGTAATACTAATACTAATAATTAATAATGATATTAATTTATTAATCAGCAATGCTAATTAATATTACTAACAATACTAAGTAATTAGAATTACTAATTTGTATGCTAATTAATGGAATTTGTAGGATTTAAAACCAGAAGAACAATATTATTCAAAACTCTGGAAGAATAATAACTTTTTCCTTATCTGAATATCATCCGAGAAAAATAATATCACATAGAGAAACGGCATCCGACTGCGGGAAAACCACCTGCTTAGTCGGTCATGAATCGAAAGAGATATGATGACCCATGTGAGTATCACGTATGCCACTTAACCGACTGATCAGAGTAAGAAAGAGAATTGCGAAAAATAAGGAAATATCTATCACAGATCATCTAAAGTCTTTCAGTAAAATACGACACGAAAAACTACTTGAAACTTTAGGAAATTTTATTCGATATGGAAAAGATTTAAAATAATGATTGCTTGAACGAGAATAGTGACCACTTCAATTTCTGTGAAAATGGTGAAGATAGAACGAGGAATATTACAAGCATTTCTAGTCTAACCTACCCACGTTGTGATTTGATCTTAGGTAGACGAAATCAATCAGTCGCCGGGCCGTAATGCAAGCCGAATTCGAGCAAAGGTGACATCGCACAATTATATGTAAAAGAAAATAAAGTAACAACTCGAAAGGTTCAAATGTGTTAAAAAAAAGAATAACAAACATTTTGTTTATATCTGGTTGCTGAATACAGGACTGCATCTTTCTCCCAAACCGCTTCTATGGATACGTGACACTTTGCTTTTCTTAGGCGAGACTTAATATCTTAAGTTGTTTTTCAATAACTGTTTTTTTGTATCTTCACGTGATATTCGTAAAACTTGATTTGGTGATGTGAGTCTAAGTCGTTCTTCAAAAAAAATTATTTTTGGTTAGAAATCTAAGTCGGAATGAGTGGATATCTTTCAGTCAGCTGCGAGGCTGGTCTCCGAACTCACAGCTCAGCTCTGCCCAACTGCCACTGTCTCTACCCTGTAACTAACTCTACTCTGTGGACGTTCGTTTATATGGACGCCGACCAAAACCGAGTGGGGGCCTGTCGTGGTTTGGGATTTTCTTTGTTTTCGGACAGGAAAATTTATCACTTTCCATTTTTGGAAGTCCATTACTTTCTGTTTTAGAGGGGTTCTTAAGTGAATTGTCCTCCCAAATTCTTCCTTTCTTATATTGGTATCTCAAACCAATCCCCTCAGAGGGCGTCAACAGGTTTCCCTTCTTTCTCATATGTTTACCTTCGCCTATCGCTCACGCTACTATTTAGCCAATGAACGCTCGGCAGTGTGGGTGTGGCTAGACTGGCCTCAGTTTACAATTATCGCTCAAAGAAAAAAATTATCTTCCTTTTTCTTTTCTTTCTTTTCCCTGACTAGAACCCCTACGACTCGTAGTGTGGTCATTAAGTCTCTATCTTAACTGAATGTCATCTGGAATTGATCAACGAGATTTTCGTCAAGTAATTATCGGGTTTGTATCCTCAACGCCTTCGTACTTCTGTCCCCAACAAGCTGTCCAAGTAACAAACTTTTATCATGGCAAGGTCTGGACATAAAACAGGTGGTCCCTTTCCCCAAACCAAATGATATCTCAGAAAGATAGTTAATGGTTTATTCTTTTCCTTTTTCTCTTCCTCCTCCCTTTTTCTTTGGGGTGGTCTCAGCTGATTCTTCCAAATTCTGATTCTTCTTGATTCTTCCAAATTCTTCCTTTCTTATATTGGTATCTCAAACCAATCCCCTCAGAGGGCGTCAACAGGTTTCCCTTCTTTCTCATATGTTTACCTTCGCCTATCGCTCACGCTACTATTTAGCCAATGAACGCTCGGCAGTGTGGGTGTGGCTAGACTGGCCTCAGTTTACAATTATCGCTCAAGTAATTATCGGGTTTGTATCCTCAACGCCTTCGTACTTCTGTCCCCAACAAGCTGTCCAAGTAACAAACTTTTATCATGGCAAGGTCTGGACATAAAACAGGTGGTCCCTTTCCCCAAACCAAATGATATCTCAGAAAGATAGTTAATGGTTTATTCTTTTCCTTTTTCTCTTCCTCCTCCCTTTTTCTTTGGGGTGGTCTCAGCTGATTCTTCCAAATTCTGATTCTTCTTGATTCTTCCAAATTCTTCCTTTCTTATATTGGTATCTCAAACCAAATTCTTCCTTTCTTATATTGGTATCTCAAACCAATCCCCTCAGAGGGCGTCAACAGGTTTCCCTTCTTTCTCATATGTTTACCTTCGCCTATCGCTCACGCTACTATTTAGCCAATGAACGCTCGGCAGTGTGGGTGTGGCTAGACTGGCCTCAGTTTACAATTATCGCTCAAAGAAAAAAATTATCTTCCTTTTTCTTTTCTTTCTTTTCCCTGACTAGAACCCCTACGACTCGTAGTGTGGTCATTAAGTCTCTATCTTAACTGAATGTCATCTGGAATTGATCAACGAGATTTTCGTCAAGTAATTATCGGGTTTGTATCCTCAATGCCTTCGTACTTCTGTCCCCAACAAGCTGTCCAAGTAACAAACTTTTATCATGGCAAGGTCTGGACATAAAACAGGTGGTCCCTTTCCCCAAACCAAATGATATCTCAGAAAGATAGTTAATGGTTTATTCTTTTCCTTTTTCTCTTCCTCCTCCCTTTTTCTTTGGGGTGGTCTCAGCTGATCCTTTTCTCAGTCGATGCTCGACCTAATTCTGATTATCTTATAGCATCCTGCTTTGTAAGCCACATGACCAATTTGAAATTCTCATTATTACAATGGGCAGATTGTTATCTTTTATTCACCGCGTCATGGCATAAATTAATTCTGACAGTTCCGAGATCTTACGAATTTCCTATCTTCTGCGAAAAAAATACTTTTCTTTGCAAATGAAAATAAAATTTTTACCACTTTTCTTTTGTTAAAAATATAACATCGCTCAGTATGTCTTTCGTGATAGCTTCTTCTCGCCTTAAGTATTTCTCGCTTTTAATTCCCATGCTTAATTAGTTAGCCAAACGCTAAATAGTGTCACAATAAGTTCGGTGATAATACACGGTGGAGAAATGGATAACGGTTCGGAGTGAGGCATCGGAGATATGGGTTTGAATTCTAATCGAATCCATTACATTCATTTACGTGCTAATACCCGTGAGAAAGATATGTATCCTCTTCTTCTCCCACTAGCTATGGGTAAAAAGCAGGACAATTGTATAGCCTTGGATGGCAACTGGTCTAGCGCAGAAAGAAATGACAACGTACTGCGGGAAAAATCAGCTTTGCCAGTCATGTATTGAAGAATATATGATCGCCTAAGCGTGTATCATGCACGGCACAAAACTGACTGATAATACTCATCCTTGTCTTACACTCATTACCATTGTATGTATACGGAATTCATTTTGTATACGTTTAAAAATGATCGACAAATGATTTCCGAAAAATAGGTATCCGACACTGATGGAATAATTAATTACCTATGTGGCATTGAATGCTGCGTAATAATATAGATGTAAAGTTTTGAAATAAAAGTTATGAATTTACCAACGAATGTTAAAAGGGCAAGACAGGTCTTGTTAAAATCAAGTATTGTTGTTACAAAGAGAAAAAAGAGGAAAGAAAGGTGAGAACAAATGAGGAACGTAGGCTTGGAAAATTTAATACTCACATTTTATGTAGGAAAAACATTGGTTTACTACAAGGATTCGTTTTAACGATTTGGCTTGCAGTATTTTTCTTAATACGCTTACAGACTAATATAAAAACGATGGCTATTTACCACACTCTAAACCAAGTAAAGGCTTATTTTATAATCGACGAATATGTGCCAAACAAGTAAATGCTTATAAAATAAATATTAATATTTACCTGTCCAAAAACCATGAAAATACTTATACACTCAAATATAAATTAATATTATTTAGCTCTATTCGACCGAATTACAGGGTGCGGCAGAAATATCTTCGACTTAAAGGGAACCCTTTATGTGGGAGGTATTTCTACCGTTCCATGCAATTAAGAGGTGGTATCATGCTCCTCAAAACGTTAAACAGAGGATTTGTTGCCGGATGTAGTTTATCGTCATACCCAGGACTAATTTCCATCGAAATATTCACTCTATATTGTTCTATGTACAGAAAATTTAAATAATTTTTTTTTTTCAGAATGATATTGTTTTACCGAAACTGCCATATCTTTCACGTCTTTTTTTTCCTTTTCCTACTCTTCTTTCCCTTCTTTGTGCGTTTGTTTCTTTTTTCTTTCTTTCTTTTTCTTTGTTTGTTTCTTTCTATCTTTTACTTTATTTCTTTTTCCTTCTTTCTTCTTTCTTTCTTTCTTCTTTCTTTCTTTCTTTCTTTCTTTCTTTCTTCCTTTCTTTCTTCGTTTCGTTTCTTTCTTTATTTATTTTCCTTTTTTCTTTTACCCTTTCTTTCTTTCTTTCTTTCTTTTAATTTCTTTTTTCTTTCTGTCTTTCTTTGTTTCTTACTTTCATTTTCTTTCTTTCATTTTCTTTCTTTTTTTCTTTCTTTTACTCTTTCTTTCTTTTTTTCTTTCTTTCTTTTTTCTTCTTTTCCATTTTCTTTCTTTTTTCATTTCGTTTTTTTTCTTTCTCTTTTTGTTAAATGTATTTATTTTCTTAAATTTTATTTCGTTCAAGTCTTTTGCCTTTATTCCTCACTTTGTAATTTTAGCCAGATGAAGGCACCATTACCACTAGTGTCTTACCATTATGTGGGAGGTATTTCGTGGAGGTACATGTGGGAGAAATATATTAGAGATATTTCAGCTGCACCCTGTAAAATTAATCAATATTAACTTAACCCCGAACGAAGAAAATTCTTATAGACTGATGTATAAACGCAAAGTATTTACCTATTTCGGATCAAATAAATGTTCATGAATTCTAATAGAAAGGAAAAAATTGGAAAATAAAAGAAAATAAAAATGGATTTCGAATTGAAATATGGAGTCAATATTTCAACTAATAAATCCAGCTTATAACGTGAATGGTTTAATTAATATTTCAATCTTAATTCGCATCGATCGCAGATTATTACAAATAGGCGCCATTATTTTTTTTCTTACTCAATCAAGGGTAGATCGATAAGTCTATATTTTCGATCTGAGTGATTAATTGATTGGTTTATAGATCAACATTTTTCAGGATACTTAAAGACGGGAAATAGTTTTAGATTGTAAAACTCTTTTTGGAGATAGTAATAACTTGGTGATACATGTCTTACTTACAAGTGATACAACCAATAGTTGCGAGGGAAACGGTGGCTTCATGCCTTTCCCAATGGTATTTGGGCGTTAGTGAATATAACGAGCCTAACTGGAATTGAAACTCGGTCTTCCGATTAACAATTCCGAGCCATTATTCATTACACCACCCGCACAGCCAAGCTTACAGGATCATTTATTTCCAAACGGTCATTCATTTAGTTATTGACCATTTAAAATGTTCACTGTATTTCTACCTTTTTGGTTGATTTTGTTCAGCGTCATATCAACATATCTATGGGTTATTTAATGCTGAAATATAAATATTTCGAACACAATTGTATACCTTCTGCTAATTATATTGTGAACGCAATCGTATATCTTCAACTACAACTAAAATTCATTGTTGGTCATTTTGCTATAAAATGTATTGTTGATCATTTTGCTATTAAATTATTGTTGGCCATTGACTATAAATATGTATTGTTGGTCATTTTTCTCATTAAACATCTATTGTTGGTATTTAACTATAAAAAAATGTATCTTTATACTTTTATAGAGTTTTTTTTTGGTGTTCATAACATGCCCATAGCTAGAACCCGAACAGGTGCTACCACCACTGTTCATGGTGAACCTGTGAACAACAGCAATTAAAAGGTGGTTTCACACTCCTCAAAACTTCCAATTTTCTAATCATAGGCCTTGCTGCCGGATGTAGTTTATCGTCATACCCAGGACTAATTTCCATTCAAAATGTTCATTGTATAATTTTCTAAGTATAAGATTAATAGAAAAAGCAGTAAAATATGTTGAAATATAAATATTTGCGTTGAAAATAAATACTTCTTTAAACTCAGATTTTATTGACCAACATTCATATATATGTTTCACATTGGCAGATATTTTTTTAACAAAATAGTTTATTTTGTATTGGTTTAAATGGAAAAGTCTCGGAATATTAAATAAGAAAAATATTTATCGTTAGTCTTATATTAAGTAGATTTTCTTATTGTTTACTTTATTTATTGATTGAATCACTTTTTTTTCAGTTTTCTGTAATAACATTCTTTCGTGACAAAAATCAGTAATAAGATGGAAAGTTGCTATTTAATAGAAATAAAGTCGGTTATGCGTTTTGATAGACAAATGATTTATATTTATTTAAATAATATTTTTTTCAGAATAATATTGCTTTAACGAAACTCTCATCTTTCCCGCCTGTTTGTTCTCTGTTTCTACTCCTCTTTCTTTCTTTCTTTCTTTCTTTCTTTCTTTCTTTCTTTCTTTCTTTCTTTCTTTCTTTCTTCTTCCCTTCCATCGTTTCTTTTTTTTCTCGTTTTCTCAAATGTATTTATTTTCTTTAAAATGTATTTCATTGAAGTCTTTTTGCTTTTATTTATTTCTCGTTTCAGTCTTTCGTTACACTTTCATCTCCTCTTTGACTATATATATATATATATATATATATATATATATATATATATATATATATATATATATGTATGTGTGTGTGTGTGTGTGTGTGTGTGAATATACAATGTGCTCCGAAAGTCTTGTTATCCACTCGTATATATATATATATATATATATATATATATATATATATATATATATACAGGGTGGTCAGAAATTTTTGTGACCCTACATAATGTAACTTTCTATTTGATATATATATATATATATATATATATATATATATATATATATATATATATATATATATTGTTATATTTATTTAGGCAGCAATCTTTCATTTATGCATGTTTCATTAAACATTGCCTGTCGTTTTTAATGATATATATATATATATATATATATATATATATATATATATATATATATGTGTGTGTGTGTGTGTGTGTGTGTGTGTGTGTGTGTGTGTGTGTGTGTGTGTGTGTTACCGTTTCTCTTTCTTTCCTCAATTTTATCTACACATATATTTTTTTTTTGTTTTTGCTTTTCGTCCGGACTCCATGTCAATTATTTTATTCTCATATTTTTAATTCACTTTTTCTTTACTCATTCACAATTCTTCTCTCATTTTCTATCACTTTTTATGTTTTTTTTTTGTTTGTTTTTTTTTGGTTTTTGTTTTTTTGCGTTCAGCATCCCTTTCAGTATCATTTCATTGTTTCTTTCTTTTCCTTCACCGTTCCTTTCTACGCCGTTCCTTCTTTTTCTTTACACCTCCCTCTTCGATGTGCTCTACCTTCTTCTTTTACATCAATCGTCTTCCTCCACACTTTCTCTTTTTCTCTTTTTCTCTCGATACGGATTTCAATTCATTCTCTTTTCTGCCAATTTCACTTTTTCTTTACTTCCTACTGTCTTCGTCTTCCTTCCTGCCCTTCCTGTCACTTTCTGTTTTTACATAGTCATTCTTCTTTTCCCGCACACGCTCATATATATATATATATATATATATATATATATATATATATATATCTTTACTCATCTTTACAGAAATACCGGTTTCCACATGGTCACTACCTTGACGGTTGACTGCTTGGAAATACCACATGCTGTATGTTTGGGTGTGCGGGTGGCTAATGGATAATGGCTCGGAATTGTCAATAGGAGAGCCGTGTTTCAATTCCAGTTGGGCTTGATATATTCATTTACGTGGAAATACACTTGGGAAAGGCATGAACACACCTCTTCTCTTTCAGTTATAGATTAATTAGTATTTCGTGTATGTTTATTGTTTTCAAAAAAAATTCTTATAATCTAAAGATATTTTTAAAAAGTGTTGATAAGCCCTAGAAACAGAATCAATCAGTCAATCGTTACTGCTATCTCTTTATTTCAGGACAGATTGAAGACAAGAGGTACAGAGAAAAATAACGCGTAAGCTTGAGCCAATGGCTGACAGGACTGACTATGGACCGAGACTGTGAGATCTGAGGATACTTTAGAGAAAATGGGAACAAAAAGAACAGTTTTATTGATCATTAGGAAGAGAGAGTTGAAATTTCTAGGGGTCGTAATGAGGAGACTTGTCTTGTAAAATGTCATACCGATATAACAGAAAGGAGGCAAGAGGGATAAAGAAAAACAGCGCTTAACTTATCAAGCGGGCTTGAGTAAATATATGTCGGAACAAGAGTTAGGAGAAATAACAAAAAGAACAAAAATTATTATCAGCTAAAAAGGACAAGAAATTCTAGAGAGCTATGATCTCCAACGTCCTGAAGGGAGACGGCTCATAGAAAAAAATCAATTTCTTCTCATTTATCTCTTTCTTTTTATTCTTCTTGCCTTCTTTTTCGTTTTTGTTTTGTTATTTCTTAGTTCTGACAATTATTCCCTATTCATACTGTTTCCAAATTATATATTTTTTTATTCATATTTTATTCTTGGCTTCATTTTGGATTCCTCTTTCTGTTTGGGTGAAACATTTTTCATCGTTTGTTCGTTTTTTTTTCTTCCGGGTTCCTGTCTTGACTGATTCCTTGAATTATCTTTTCCGTGTTTTTACACCTTATTAATATATTCTATTCATTCCCATATTTGCGATCTTTATTTCTTTATTCTGCTATTCTTTTGTTCACACTTTGGTCTTTTTTTTCTTTCCACCTTTCTTTATTATTTATTATTTTCTCAACCAGACATTTTTTTTTATCAATATTTTTATTTTTCATCATGTCTCTCTTTCTTACTACCGCCATTAACTTTTCTCCATTTCAATATTTTGGTTTAGATTTATTTTATTTCCCTTAGCCTTTTATGTCGTTTTTGTTGTATTTTCATTTTAGCATATCTTTTGACTTCTTTCTTTTTTCTATTTTTCACCTTCCTGGGTAAGAAGATAAACTACATCCAACAGCAAGGACTCTGATCAGTTTTTAGCATATCTTTTGACTTCTTTCTTTTTTCTATTTTTTACCTTCTTGGGTAAGAAGATAAACTACATCCAACAGCAAGGACTCTGATCAGTTTTTTTTAGGGGTGTGGAACCCTCGTCTTAATTGCTGGTGTAGCACCTGTTAGGGTCCCTGCTATGGATAAATAGTTAACCCTCGAACTGGGGTCAAAACACTATGAAAGTGTCAAAATAGGTTTTAATACCAGAAATACTTTGTAAAAAATATTTACCAGCAATAATTTTTTTAAGAAAAAAGACAATATTACCAGCTATACATTTTTGAAAAAAAAATATTGCCAACAATAAAAATCTAATCGGCGTTAAATAACCCGTTGAGGTTGATATACCGTAAATTAAACCAAACCAAACCAGATCTATTTTTCTTCCTCTCAATTCTGGCACATTTCCGGTCTGAAATTTTTTTTTTCGATTTTCATTTCTGTGTCCGCCTTTCCTTCGTTTCTATTTTCTTTCTTCTTTCCCTTACTTATCTATGTCCTTTCTTTTTATTACAATTTTATATTTCTTTTATTCAATTTCATTTTCTATTTCCTTCTTTCCTACTTTCGTTCTTCTGTTTTTTCATCCATCCTTCCTGTCTCCATCTTGTCTTTTTTAATACAACATTGAGTTTATTTCCTTTCTTCTCCCTTCCTATTTTCTTTTTTCTTTCTGTCATATTGACTGCTAATACATCTTTCATTTGTTCGAAGTCTTTTACTATTTCCCGCCTTTCTATATCTTAATCTATTCTTTTCTTTTATTTCGTTCTCCCGCCCTTTCTTTTATTGATCAATCACTTTTCATTCTCTTTTCTTTATCATTTTAACTAAACCGTGTTATTTTATTTTTCTTTCGCCCTATTCTTTTCTATTTAACCCTTCGATTTTCTATTCATTTTTTCGTTGTTTTCCTCTTCTTTTCATTCTTTCATTCTTCTGACGACGCGTTCTTCTTTCTTCCAGCTCTATATTTCTTTCCCTTTTTATTATTCCCATCTCCAATGCTTCCGATTACGGGTTTTCTTCTTTATTTCGTTAGCACTATTTACGCCATTTTTAATTTTTCTATTTTCTATCCGTCGAAATGCACCATTTTTTTTCACTTTCTTTATTTGTTTCTTTCTTTCTTTCTTTCTGTCTTTCTTTCTTTCTTTCTTTCTTTGTTTCTTTCTTTCTTTCTTTCTTTCTTTCTGTTTCCTTCCATTTTTACAGTTTCCATCTATTATTTTTCGTATTATAGTATTTATTGTTTTTTTTTCTTTTTCGTTTTCTTTAATTCCTTATTCTTTTCAATCTTTCCTTCTTTTATTCTTCTGACTGTGACTGTTTTTTTCTTTCGTTCGCTCTCTTTCCTTGTGCGTTTCTTCCGGCATGTTTCTTTAATTTATCTCTTATATTTCTCTTTACAGAATTAACTTCTTTATCGCCATCAATAACTTAAATGAAATGGCGTGATGCACAAATGAATTTACATTCTCTTTTGATACTTAAGAATCGACAAAATGGCGGCAAAATATGCCGACATCATATATAAAGCAAATAAAACGTATTGCATGTGGATGGTTCTAACGTTTCTATTGTGGTCCTAGCGAGACTTGTTTTATTTATCATAATTGTTGTACAATTTAAACCTATCTGTATGAAGACATAATCAAGAACGCATCATCATCTATTGGTTTGGCGAAAATGTTAGCTCGCTTATCCTGCCATAAAATTACTTAATATATCGAACGAATGTGCCGTGACTTTTTAAGTATGAAGTGGGGGGGTGCGATCATGGTCCTCCATAACTTCCTAACTGTTGTATTTCTTAACCGTGCTTGTCTTTTTGCCTCTCTCCTAATCCATGTTTTGTCTTTCAATTACAGATGATTTTATTCTCTACTGTTTTCTGTTCTTCTCGCCTTCAACACGCCTTATGAATGTTCAATTTTCCAAGTCCTCTTTCCACATGATGTGTCCTAGAAATTTCATTTGTCTCTTTTTTATTCTAAATGTAAGTGCTCTTTTTGTTTCCATTTTCTTAAAATTCCGTCCTGGGTATGACGATACTTACATCCATGTCCTGGGTAAGAAGATAAACTACATCCAACAGCAAGGCCTCTGATCAGGAGATTTTAAGGAACGTGGCGCCACCTCTTAAATGCTGGTGTTCCCATGTCTACCCTGAACCCAGGTGGCAGTACCTCTTTAGGTCCCAAATATGGGTAAATAGTTAACCCCCAAACTGGGCTCAAAACACTATCTAAGTGTAAAAATAGGTTTTAATTCCAGAAATACTTCGTAAAAAACTTTTCAAAAAATACATTTTTGAAAATTCTTGGAGAAAAGATATTACAGAAATGAATTTTTTTGTCGCCATTGAGGTTGATAAACCTTAAAACAAATCAAACCAAACCAATAATACATTTTTGAAGGAAAAATGTTACCAGCAATACATTTTTTAAATAATTATTACCAGGAATATATTATTGCCAGCAAGACATTTTTGATGAAAAAAAAAAAAAAAAAAAAAAAAAAACATTACAGTAATACATTTTTAAAATAAAGAAATGAAACCTACCAGCAATGAAAATCTTGACGGCATTAAATAACCCATTGAGTTTGATAAGCCGTAAAAGAAACCAATCTCTAAAACTTCGTCATTACTCAAATTTTCAGTCCATGGGATTCTCACCATTCTTCTGCTTCCTCAAGTCTTGTCTTCATCAGTGAGTGGATTGTTCAGCATTCACTGCCATATAGAAAGGCCGATACTACATCCTGTACTCATTTCTTTGTTTCTAACGGAATTTTCCTTTTGCATAAGACTTTGCTTACCTTTTTGAAAGTTTCTTTCGCTATCCCAATGCCGATTTACATTTTCTGAGGTCTTTTAAAACACTTCCAAGATAACTAAATTAAAATATTGATGGATTTTGGTGTCTTCTCTTCGTAGTTAGCGTCTTGATTTGTTGATTTTACTGAAAACTATATATTCTAACTTCTTACAAATAATCTTAGTCCTTTCTTTTCGCTTTCATTGATTACCTTCTGGAGAAGTATCAATGTTTCCTTTCCATGTCTGTTTTCAACACAGTCTAGTTTATATATCTTATATCTTTTAAGATTGTGTGCGCCATTAAAGAATCCTGAGGTGACTTCTAATTCTCTCAAAATCGCCTTTCTCTAAAGGTTGAATATGTCCGGTGAGAAGACATATAATTCTCTTACATCTCTTTCATTTTTGTGTATTTACTGAATTCATTTCCTATCAAAGTTTAAACTCTTTGTTTCCAGTTTTATTTCTGGATATTCTGTGTTAAGATAAATCAAACCAACATGGAAAATCAAATAATTATTTTCTTGAACTTTTGTTTTAATGGGAAGATTCTTCGGAATTGTAACCGGTAGCAGCACTGGCTGTTCAGTCAATGAAAGTCGAATGCTTCCATATAAGGAAACAATTAATATTACTTGAAATCAACGTAACTTGAGTGGCTTTAGCTTCTAGGCTAACGAAATTCAAATGTTTACAAAAATGGAAACGTCTATTATTACCCTTCCCATGAGAGATGAGCAGAACATTTACTACACTTTGATCTGAACCCGATAACCAGGAAGCAAAGAAGGTACTACGTTTGGTTGAAATTAATCAAATCTTTCTCTTTAAAACATTTTTCAGGAAAATAGCTTTCTCAAGTTCAGTTCTTTACCGTATTAATAGTGGTTTCATTTCTAATCTATCATTTGAACTCGTGTGGAATGTCATTATTTTCTATTAGAATAGCATGTGATATCAGTCAGTCAATTATGTGCTGACGAGGTAGATCTTTTTTTTTCCTGTAGTAGGTTGCCATTTCTTTCTGCAAATACACAAAAGGAAGTGAATCGCTTCATAACCAGTTGCCATCCGTGGTTAAAGAACACAGTCTGTCTAGCTATTTACTCATAGCTAGTGGAGATTTTTTTTTTTTTTTTTTTTAAGCATTTCACCCCAAGCAAGGCGGGGGAGCCACTAGGACGCAAGGGGTTACAGAAAATAGGAAGATCAGATAGGGAGTGATAGAAGAAAGGATGAGGGTAGTAGATAGATTAAGGCAACTGGAGATGTCGATTGACATTACATTTGAATAGCTGGAGATTATAACTCTCAGGAAACAGGAGAAGGGAAGAGAGTTCCACAGGCGAGAGGTGCGAGACATGAAGCTATTAGGAGTAGTAGAGACGGCTACATTTAGGAGTTTCGACAGTGAAGGGGTGAGAGCGGGATGCCAGCCTCGTAGGGCGCTTGAACTCATGAAGTTTGGGAACCAGCGAATGCAGTTCCTCGGAGCAATTTCCATGAAAGTATTTGTAGAACAGACAGAGGGAGGCGACGGTGCGTCTGTGAGAAAGTGACTGTAGACGAGAAGCCAGGGTAGGGCCAACCATATTACATATCCGCCTCTGGAGCCTATCAAGAACCCCGAGGCAAACAGAAGGGGCGCCAGACCATATATGGCAGCAATACTCCATGCAAGGGCGAATTGTGGATTTGTATATCTGGAGGATCGACTCAGGGGAGAAAAAAAGAAGATTCATACCTTTCCTAAGGATGTTAGCACGTAAGTGAATGTAAGGGATTCGACTGGAATTCGATCTCGGCTCTGCAATTCTTCAATCCGTGTCTCCATTTGATATAGATTTTTCATTTTTGCGTTTATTCTTTTCATGAATCGATTCACTTATTCACTTGTGTGTATTTGTCTTCTATGAAATAATTTTTCTTTTCTGTCAACTTTATTTTCTAATACGTTTCTTGCTCTTATATTTTCCTTTTTTTTCCTTTTTGCCAACCCTTTCATTATTTCATTTCTCATTCTTTCTTTTTTGTTACTTTCTTCGTTCCTTCTTTCTTTTTCATTTTCTCCTTTCTTCTGATCATTTTTTTATTAATTTCCTTTTTTTTTTATCTTTACTTACTTCTTTCTTGTTCTTTCCTTTCTTTCTTTCCTTTTCTTTTTCTTTACTTTTTTGTTCTTTTCTTCCTTTCTTTCTTTCATTTTTTTTTTCTTTCCTCTTTTGTTTTTTTACTTCTTTCTTGTTCTTTCCTTTCTTTCTTTCCTTTTCTTTTTCTTTTCTTTTCTTTTTTTGTTTCTTTTCTTTTTTTTTTTTCTTTTTTCATTTTTTTCTTTCTTTCCTCTTTTGTTTTTTACTTCTTTCTTGTTCTTTCCTTTCTTTCTTCCATTTTCTTTTTCTTTTCTTTTTTGTTCTTTTCTTCCTTTCTTTCTTTCATTTTTTTCTTTCATCTTTTGTTCTTTACTTCTTTCTTGTTCTTTCCTTTCTTTCTTTCCTTTTCTTTTTCTTTCCTTCTTTGTTCTTTTCTTCTTTTCTTTCTTTCATTTTTTTCTTTCTTTCCTCTTTTGTTCTTTAATTACATCTTTCTTGTTCGATTCCTGCTTTGTTTCATTCGTTTTTCTTTCTTTCCTTTTTTGTTCTTTTCTTCCATTCTTTTTCGTGTCCTTTCTGTTTTCCTTTCTTTCATTTTTTCTTTCTCTCCTCTTTACTTACTTTTTCTTGTTCTTTCCTTTCTTACTTTCCTTTTCTTTTTCTTTCCTTTTTTATTCTTTTCTTCCATTCTTCTTTCTTGTTCTTTTCTCCCTTTATTTCTTTTATTTTTCTTTCTTTCTTCTTTTATTCTTTACTTACTTATTTCTTTTTCGGTTCCTCCTTTCTTTCATTCGTTTTTTTTCCTTTCCTTTTTTCGTTCTTTTCTTCCATTC